AACTACAGGATGTGTTTAGCGTTAAACTTTATTGTGTGCTTGTGAGTGGGTGTCAGCACGAATCTCGCTCACAGCATCTGTCTCCCACATCAGAAGGCAATATCTGAGCATTTGCATTGTAAGCCTCGCAACTGCGTAACTCACCAAATAGGAGAGACATTACACAGTGTGACCTGCTGGTTTCCAGCGGAAGGTGTTACATCCTGCCCAGCAAGGAGGGCCCATTGACACTAGAGTGCAACATTAAAGATGATAAACGACCTTGTGGTTTACTCTCCCCTCCCCAAGAAGACAAATCCTGCAACTGAATCCCTCCCATCTGCTGAGTCTGCATCTCAAAACAGAAATTGGAAAAGAAATAAAAAATCCCCTAACAAGGAAGAATTGTATCTTTTATGTTGCTTGGAGCGGGGAGGACTAGGCGTAAGGCAAAGATTATCAGTGCTTAGGCTAAAGGACAGATAGAGCTTATTTGTTATAGAAGCTTCTATAACTTTTTGAAATTGAAGATTGGAACTCCTGTGGGTGTTATCCTGCTTTCACATTGTAAACTTGTTTTCTTTTCCTATATAATAAATCTTCAGATAGTTTATTATAGGCTTGGCTACAAGCTGTCTTTGGTGTGAGATCTGATGAGCAATGGCTCTAGGGTCAGTCTTTTGGGACTGAGAGTAACCAGAATACAGGACTATGTAGCACTTTAAAGACTAACAAGATGGTTTATTAGATGATGAGCTTTCGTGGGCCAGACCCACTTCTTCAGATCAAATAGTGGAAGAAAATAGTCACAACCCGTTGCCACCTTTGTCCACATATTCACTCTGCTGATACCATTATTGGACCTAACCAAGTGAGTTATAAGATCAAGAACACATATTCCTGCGCATCCAGAAATATAATTTATGCTATCATGTGCCGAAAGTGTCCGTCTGCTATGTACATTGGACAAAGGTCTCAGACACTTCGCCAAAGGATCAATGCCCACAAAACAGATATTAGACAGGATCACAAAGAAAAAACAGTTTCTTGCCATTTCAACCAGAAAGGACATTGTCTCAACGACTTAATTACCTGCATCCTGCTTCAAAGACCTTTTAAATCTGCACTTGAAAGGGAATCCTCTGAACTGTCATTCATGCTAAAATTCGACACTTTACGCGTGGATCTCAACAAACACTTTAGTTATCTTACCCATTACAGAGATAGCTTCCCCAATTATCACCTCTAATATCATTAGCCCACAGACATTTACCTTTCCCCCAGCCCCCGCATCCTCCTTCTGTTCTGAAATTTGATTTGTCCTTTTCATATGTGTTCTTTTTTTTTTATTGTATCCTTTGGTATATATGGTTGTGACTATTTTCTTCCACTATTTGATCTGAGGAAGTGGGTCTGGCCCACGAAAGCTCATCATCTAATAAACCATCTTGTTAGTCTTTAAAGTGCTACATAGTCTTGTATTTTGCTTCAGCTACACCAGACTAACACGGCTACATTTCTATTACTATTCCAGAATACTGTTGTGATACTTGGAATAAGGAACCATCGGTCACAAAGGGAGACTGTTGTCGGTGGCAAGACAGAAAATACAGGGGACTCTCTGACTTAAGGTTGTTTTAGTGCCTGAGCAATTTATACTTGATAATCGGTTGGTGAGATCTCAGGATAGTGCTCACAACCAGTTCTTAACAGCCTGCCCTGAGATTAATACTCATGCTCTTGAGCCATTACAGGGCAGCTTGAATCTGAATTAGTGGAGGAAGGGGAGGAAGAAGAGAAATTCAAAGAGGTGGCAATATATGGAGACAGCATGGTATAGTGGATAGAGTATGGGGTGCAAGTCAGGAGACCTAAGTTTTATTTCTAGCTCGAGCCTGCTGGCTAACATTGGGCAAGTCACGTCCCCTCTCTGTGCCTCAGTTTTTCCACCTGTGAAGTGGGGACTTACAAACTTCTTTTGTAAAGTGCTGTGAGATCTCCTGATGAAAAGCTACTGTGTACAAGCTAGGTAGCAGTACTCTATTATATGTTGTTATATTCAACATGGCGAGCAAGGAAGTTGATCTTGGTTGCTTGTTTCTGCCTGGGCAGGGCAGCTAGTCAGGAGGCTACTGCAGTGGCTCAGTTGGGATATGTCTGAGTGAGGGTACTAAAGGGTGGGATGGAAAGAGAAGAGACCTAATATATATAGTGATGGATGAAGGAGCAGCCTTTGGAGATAGCCTGGGTGTGTTGGATGAAGGAAAGGGAAGTGTGAGACATACCCCCAGAACACAGTTTGAGCAATGGAGAGGATGGTGCTGCTGACATTATTAAGCACAGATGTTTAAAAGAAACACACAGGGAAGGAAATTGAAAGCAAATAGGAATCCTGTCACTCGGTCATGCGCTCTAACCCCTAGGCCACACTTCCTAGCCTAATGAAAAGCCTTGGAGGCTCGAGGACTCTGAGGCTATGTATAGACCACAGGCCCTGTCCTTCACATGAGCAAGAGACCTCTGATGACCTGTGACAATGGGTAGGCAGAAGCTGTGCTGAGATGCCTGCTGATGATGCTGAGCACTATTGACTTGTAGTTTCCATGTCCTCCCGTCTGCAGGGCCACCAACAGGGGGAAGAAAATGGGGCCGTTGCCACAGGGCCGGGTGATTTAAAAGGGCCCGGGGCTCTGATCCTTTAAATCGCTGCCGGAGCCCTGATGGCTGGGGGAGGTATGGCACAGTTCGGGCGGCGCTGACGGCTGCCTGCTCTTAGCCCCGCCCCTTTTGCCCAAGGGCCTACCCCTTTCTGCGGGGGGCAGAGCCAATCCCCCACATTGCTCAGGGCCCAGCAAAGTCTGTTGCCAGCCCTGCCCATCTATTGTCTTGTCTTACACTTAAATAGTCAGCTCTATCCTTTTCGTCCTGATTGTGCAATGCCTTACACACTGGGGGCCTGGTCTATGATGGGTGCACCTAGCTCAGCTATAGCAATACAAACAATTGCTAAGGTTTGGATGGCGGAGGATGGCAAAAGAGCAGATTACGGGCTGGAACAGGGATTTGTGGGCATTTGACCCCAAACTCCTACAGTTCTTTGAGAGTGGTCTCCCATAATACACAGCAGCAGCCCCACAATCCACTGCAAACATTTCCCAGGGGCAGTGTGCCAGATGATGGCGAGGGGACCCTGGGTTGCCTGCTCACAGGGCTGTACATGTTTGGCCGAGGCAAGCCGATGCTGTGAGGGTACACTGCCACTGCAAAAGCCGACAGATGTGAATGCACTCTGCCAAAATACCTGTCAGTAGGAAACAGCAGAACTTTTGGTAGGCCTAGCAGACAACTTGTGTCTGAGAGCTGGTTTCTCTTTGAAGAGTACAGCTTGTGGACATATTTTAAAGGCACAGGGCCCCCGTGCAGAATCAGCAGCATTGCTCCTAGCTCTGAATTCTTCAAAGGAACATCAGGAGCTGCTCTCAGCAAAGAGAAACTGGTACTGAAAAAGAAAAAAAAAGTCCTAATTCTAACATCTTAGATTTAGTTTTCCCTTATACTGTATTAATGACCTCTGTCCAACAGGACAGTTAAAACATAAATCACTCTGGCAGCATGGATTGGACTGAATTGGATTGGACTGAACTGACTGCCAACTCCTGTGATTTCCTTGTGAATCCTGCAATAGTGGTAATTTTTTCTGGAAGCGACAGCTCCGGGAGTCCTGTGATTTTTAAGTGCAAAAGGGGGTCAATTTCATGAATTCGCCAAAAGTGCCAGTTAGATTGTGAAGCTGAAATACCACAAACTATATTTCCCACTTGGATGAGTGTTAGAACCAATATTAGAATGAAATCTGACAAGATAACTCCTTTTTAATGACTGGAGGGAGTATTAGCCTCCTCATTTAATACTAGGCTCTTTTCAGGTCAGATTTTATTTTGCACAGCATTTCTCAAATCAGACAGTTTGATCGGTGTACTGTTGACTGTATATGGATTTGGATCTGGATGAGCAGTTCATTATCATCTTTCCTTTAAAAAAAACCCCATACATCTGTATCCCATTGAGAAAAGCTCAATGTAACCTTAGTGAACCCTGTAGAAACCCAAAGAAAAATAAAACAAAAACCCAAGCATATGTTTTATCACAATTTTAAAGCCAGTCGCATGGTTTTGGAAAGCCGGGGTGGTGAAGAGGATGTAAATGGGATCTATGTGAAGTGTTTAGTTTAATTGAAATCAGCGTAGATTACATTTTGTTCCTGGCATCCCACCCTGCACCAGTTTAGACACAGAGCCAACTCATTGACTGTAATTTGTGGCACCTGCCAATAATTTCCTGTGCTCATTAGGGTAAAGAAAAGTCTAAGCTCCCCACCCCCTTTCCGGCCCCCAGGAGGTAGCAGGAACCTGGTATAGTAAGGTCCTGCCTCCCGTTTGCTGCCCCCATTCGGTAGCTTAATTATGCCAGAACTGTCTTGCCCGTAGCAACATCCTAACCCCGGTGCTGGGTAGTAGACAGGACCAGAGAACAAGCCCCCTTCTTTTCTCCATCTACCTAAAGGCAAATTTGCTGTGTGTGGTGTGAAGTTAAGGAATTTTCTCTTTGTTTAAGAGCTTTCTTTAATATAAATAGGGTGCAGTTGTCCCCAGTAGGGCTCCAGATGACACAACTGAGAGACACGCAGGGGTATCACTGGGGTGTGGAGGGTGTCTCCCGTCATCATGCACCAGCCTGGTAGAGGGGCCATTATACGGCCCCAGCTCCTGCCCCCAAAATGACCAGATTACCTAGTTTGGCCCTGTCCTTCCCCTAGCTCTAGAATGGCCACCCCTCCCCAACCTGACTCGCTCCAGATTATCCCTCCTCCCCCAGCTGCCCTGCTCCAGAATGGCCCTCCCTTTCCCCAACCTGGCCCTCTTCCCCACCCAGAGCCCCCTCCCCAACAGAACCGGCCCCCTCCTCCCGGGCGGGCTACCTCTCCCGCAGCTGCAGCAGGGAGGGAAAGGGCATGTCCGCCCATGGAGCCCGGTCCCAGGCAAGCTACCTCCACCCGCGGGCAGGGGCTGCGTGGAGCTGGGATGCCTCCCCCCGCCGTGAGCCCAGCGCTGCCCATGAAACTGCAGCTGCACGGCTGCGACCGCGGGGCGCTGCTGGGCCGGCTGGGGGGGCTGGTCCAAGCCCTGCTGGCCACGGCGGCGCTCAGCACGCTGATGGGTGAGTCTCCGCCCTGAGCCGGCTGCACGTGGGCTGGGAGCGGAGAAGCCAGCGCCTCGGTCCTTCCTGCAGCGCCCAGCCTGGCTGTTCTCCGGTTCGGGGTGCACACTTTGCAGGGGGTGTCGGGCATGTACAGTCACAGGCACGGGTACCGGAACAAGGCGCACAGGGGGCAGGCGCAGCAAAGGGGGGCCGGTGCCCCTGGGCCTAGAGATTTAACAGGAGGGGCAGTGATGAGTGGCTGGAGCACTGGGCCATTTAAATTGCTGGCGGAGTTCTGCATAGCCTGCTCCCGGTGGCTCTGAGGGCAGTCTGGAGGGTGGGGACCACACAGTGCGCTTTGTACTGCACTGAGGGCAGGCTGCCCTCAGCCCCACCCCTTCTTCCCGAGGGCCTGCCCTCCTCACTCTGCCCACAGGCCGGCAGGTCTATCAGCCCCCCTGCGGGTGCTGAGAATCAGGGGCAGATGACGATTTTGCGGGGTCCAGGGCAGCACAATTTCGCGGGGGCCCCCCTTTGACATGGCGCATGCGCGGGGCTTCTTGAAGTGCGGGGCCCGGGGCGGCCGCCCCACTTGCCCTGCCCTATATCCGCCCCTGCTGAGAATCCTTGAACCCAACTGCAAACCCTACGGAAACCACTTCAAACCAGGAACTTCAGGGGATCGCGAGTTAGTCTGCTACAGAAAAAAACAACAAATGGTTTGGTAGCACTTGATAGACTAACAAACATGTAGTTTCTCGTCATCTGAAGAAGTGGGCTGTGCCCACGAAAGCTCATGATACCATCTACATGTTTCCTTAGTCTATGAAGTGCTACCAGACCATTTGTTGTTTTCTTGAAACCAGGGAGTGGGTTGCCAGGTGTCCGGTTTTGAACCGGGCAGTCTGGTATTTGAGGGTTCTGTCTGGGAAACAAATTGAGAATATACCCCTTCTCCCAGCCAGTCCCTCTCCCCCCATCTGAGATCAAGTGTGTCCGGTATTTTTTTAAAGCCATCTGGTAACCCTAACCCAGGGAGTGTGGCAACAGCCCCAGCACTTCAAATTCAGGTACCATGACCCTTAGCTCTAGCAACTGTCTCTGTAGGAGAGAGGGTAGTCTAAAAAAACTCCGCCATGTCCAAGGAATGCATTTGTTCTTCCACTTTTTTGTGGAAGAGCAAACACTCTTT